CGTGGTGAATGTAACAGGAAATCCACCCATCCTCCCAGAAGGGTTCTGATCTTTTTTTCACAGAAAACTGTCTACAGGGTCTTGGGACCCAGCATCCATGTCATAGGGCAAGCACATTAGGGGCCTGCCTGAGGTCAGTGAGCCCTAGAGCCTTCAGAAGCTTATCTGGAGCAGTTCTCCTTGAGAACCCAAGCACCAGCTGGAATCATATCTTGGATTTGCTTAATTGAATGTGTTTTGAATGGAAGACTTGTGTATCAACATGCATGCTTTTCTAGACAAGCTTTACTTAGCAGTTAACTTCAAAGATATCTACACAAATCGTTTGAAAACTAAGTGACCCAGCTGTGAACTGGACAGAACAGGCCACATGAGAGCACATGGAGAGTCTCCTAAAAAGCTTTTAGCAGTGACTCACTAAATAAATTCTGAACATATAAGCAGCTGACACAGAAGCCGAAGCCAAGAGAATGGGTGTCACTTTAACTCGTTTTCACACGAGTCTCCCAAACCCAGAAAATCCTGAAGTACTACACTAATAACTGAAGCTGTGCTTTGGATGAGGAAATAGGGACATGTGGGATTCCAGGACCTTTAATACTTGCTAATGAAGTAACCCTGCAAGAAGCATGGCAGCCCTGCAAGAGTACAAGATGGCACAGTACAGTGACTCTCACCTAATAGCAGCCTGCAGAGCATGTTACCTCACCTCACGCAGAAGCTAACGGCTTAGCTTGGAGGCCTTCATAGGGTAACGTGGCAGAGCAGAAGTCCCAGAGAGGGCATTATTATCACAGGAGAGTCTGGTGTGTCAGAGCCCTGAGACTGGCAGCAGAAATTTAGCACAACACATGTCACTTCTGAACAGATCGTACTTAAATCCAGAGCAAAACCGGGTGTGAGAGTCAAATCAGCGTTTCTACTCCGGGCAGCAGAGGACAAGCACTGTTTGCAACTCACTGCAAAAAAAAATGATGAATTGAACCTCCTTTTCTCCCTTATTTTCAGTTAGCCAAAAAAGATCAGCTCCTCTTATCTTCCTTCAAGGCCTCTCTGAAGGATATTTGAATAACAGAAACGTTCCTATCATTATAGCAAACAATCATATTTCTCAACTGTTTCTCACTTAAATCCTGCCTGTCCTCCACTGATCCAACTTTCACTGCCTTGCAGAAATGTTATAAATTTTGAAACAAAATGAAGTTACAGACATTTAAAATGCTAATATCGTCGCCACCGGGTATTTCCAGTAATATTCTTCTCTCAATTCCCTTTGTCTTGGTTGTTTGTCCAAGACTATATCCCGCGATTGGGATCTTCACAAATTGCAAAGCATGTCATTCGTCTGTGCATATACTGCGTATTTATAAAGCACTTAATTTTCCCAGCTGTTTTAGTCTAACTGTGCTCTGAAATACTTCTGGCAGTACTCAGACTATTGAACTGCAGGAGGTATCTTGGTGTACATTACAAAGAGAAGAAATCTTTACAGTTATCATGCTCTTCTTAAATTCCTTAACAAGGGATGTGTAAATTTAAATCCTACAGAAATTCCCCTGGATTTCATATCACTTTGGGATTACAGATTATATTCTGCAAAAGCTTCACAGGCATTTCAAAAAGAAGTTTTAGTTACTTACATATGAAAATGAGTAATATAAATAGCACAGATACTTCTAATACATTAACAATAAAAATTCTTAATCCCGATTCTTGCTATTTTGCATTAGATGGTTTACTTCTTTACTTCTGTCATGCTTGGAATTTCTACAATGGGTCAGAACCCTTCTGTGCTAAATAGTGTACTTGTGCAGAATAAAAAGTACATTTTGAACCCAAGGAGTCTGCAATCTAAGCATAAAACAAGATATCACGTATAGACAGAGAAAAATGGATAATAAGACAAAAAGTGTGACAATATTGACAGCCTTGATAAACAGCTGTCTTAGACCATCATCAGCCCAACCTCTGACAACTTTTTGGCATGCATCATGATGAAAAGAGGGCTTCAATGGGATCAGAAAACATAATACATAGTTGCTTTGTGGATGGTACCAGGAAGCAGGAAGATTCTTATGATCAAATTTAAGAAGGAAGCAAAAAAATGCTTGAATTGTGCTGATCAGAATGGGGGCAGCAGAGGCGAAACTGTGAAAGGCCTTGAAAGTGAAGAAAAATTGTTTATTTCTGAGCAGAAACGAGAAGAGAAAGCTGGAGCAAGGTAATAACTAACTATATTTGTACCGCTCATAGCCTTAGGTAGCTATATTTTACGTTCCCCAAAAACCAAACTTGTTCTATTAGATTTTTCCACCACTTAGATCTAAAATTGTAAGCAGGCTTGACAATGGTGATGTCGAACACAGGCAAGATAAAATAATCATTAGGCATCTGAAAACGGCAGTTGGAGATACTGCCCAAACAGAAAAAGACAATTTCTTCTCACTTTCACTGCGCAAATAACACAAGCTAAGCTGACAGAATCAAATTCTACCAAGAGTGAGGAAGAAGGGCAAGTCATCTGTGCTGCGACAGCAATAAAATGGCCTGATATTGAAATGTAGAAAGTTGTAATGGAGGTACATATTGACCTTTATCTTTCTTCCAGTGGGTAGCATGAAGTGTCAAAGAGTTATTGCTTTAATATCATCTGAGATGAGCCCATTTGTTGTGGTGCATGTGCATCCAGGAAATCACTGCTCTAACCATGTTTTTAGAAGCACTTTGACACTTTATTAAATCTTCTTGATGCTCTTTCAGCACATAGTGGTCTCTACAGGCTGAGTGAACTGCCATGTAGGTCAAGCAGAAGCTTTCTGGAAGAGTTCCTCTTCAGGAAAGCCAGGGTCATTTCCAGCTTGATCCAGCCCACAGAGGTTCAGGACTATTCTCTGTTACACTCCTATAGCTAAATACAGTCCTATTGCCTTTATAAATTATAGAAAATCTCCAATAAACTAACAAGAGCAGGATTAGGACCATGGACTTTATTCTTCCGGAGATGTACTCAAACAAAGATATTCTCTAAAATTAGAGCTAGCCACTGAGAAGAAGGAACAATAATTCTTTCAACTTTATGACAAACAGTGACCAAACCTGGGGTAATTTCCCCTCATTTAGCTGAGACTTTATGAATCACCTATTGAGGCTAATAATTTCATTAATCCCAGTCCCACTGTCAACTGGATTTACAGAGTACCAAAGGAGGTAATATTAAGCCTTGGCTTGGAGTGAATTACTCCAATAGTAATTTCTACTGCAGGCAGAGGTACCTGACAGAATCACAGAATGGCTGTGGTTGGAAGGGACCTCTGGAGGTAACCTGGTCCAACTCCCCTGCTCAAGAAGGATCACCCAGAGCCAGTTACCCAGGACCATGTGCGGATGGCTGTTGAATATTTACAAGTATGGACACTCCACAACTTTCTGGGCAACCCGTGCCAGTGCTCTGTCACCCTCACTGGAAAAAAGTGTTTTATGATATTTAAGATGTAAACTCCTGTGCTTCAATTTGTGTCCACTGCCACTGATCCTGTCACTGGGCACCACTGTTGTCTCTACACCCTCCCTTCAAGTATTTGTACACATTGATAAAATCCTCCGGAACCTTCTCTCCTCCAGGCTGAAGATTCCCAGCTCTCTCAGCCTCTTCTCATAGGAGAGATGCTCCAGCCCCTTAACCATTCTAGAGGCCCTTTGCTGGACTCTCTCCAGTAGCTCCATCTCTCTTTTGTACTGAAGAGCCAACAACTGGACACAATACTCCAGGTGTGGCCTGACCTCCTACACAATTAAGAGAATGATTTTTGTGTTTTCTTATTCTAAGTAACCAGGACTAGATAAAAAATGAAGAGAATGGTCATATATCCACAAATACAATCAATAACTGATTAAACTTTCTGAAGCAGTTAGAAAACAACCTGTATTCACACAGAAGTCCTTGATTTCATTAAGGTCTTCTGTCCCAATCACCATAAATTTTTTCAGGGAACTAGATGGAATAATTTAATTTTTTTCTCCAAGTAGACAACAATATACCTTTCTCCAGAGGTTTAATAGAGGCACATTCTGGTCAATAATCACTCACCAGTGACTCAGCCCGTGTATGCTGGTGTCAATGAAAGTGTGTCAATTTCCACAGGATGAGGTTCTGATGTAAATAAAGATTTTAAAACAAATGTTTCGTCCTAGTTGAGTACACCAGCAAAATAAGTAATTTTCAAAATCTGATCCACTGCTCAGACTGGTTATTTACATGATTCTTTTCTTTGCACAGACAAGGAGAGTAAATTTAAGGTGTTTATTTCTAATCAGTACCATATTCTGGCTGCCACACAAGTGGTTCCAAAACCATTGCATTTGTAGGACTGAAAACGCTACATTGGCACAACTAAGCCAGAATGTCTGAAATATATTTTTTTCCTAGGAATGATTTTTACCAAATATGTTGGAACAGCTCTATTTTGTAATATCTATATTTTGCAAGAAAATGATGTTGATAGTATTCCTTTAAAATTTTCTACAAGAAGGCTATAAAAGGAAAATGAAAAACGGCTATACCTGGAAGTAATGCTCCATTGCTTTTCTCCCCATTATGAACTTCACTGTTGCAGCAGTACATACTGTCATAATAATAAATAACCATACAACCACCCCCCATTAAGCTTTGTAGCTCTCTTAGGAACACATTTCCCCACATACAAAACTCCAGAAAAGAGTTTAAAACATGTTCTCATTCATACTGGGGCAATGTTACTTACAGAAATGGGGTTGCACTAGAACAGGAACAAAACCTGTTCCCATTATCATGCACATGTGATTCATCCAGCTGTTCATTCACCAACACGGGAGGACAACATTTTGCGGTGATTTACAATAGTAAAATAAGGATTTACATGGAGCATGATTCAGAGAACGTGGCTTCCATGAACTTACCAGTGACCAGCGAAACAAAAGACTAATTAAGAACCCAAGGAAATGCAGAAGACTGATTGACTCACCTGGATGCTGGGTGGTGAACGATTTTTTCGGGTTGTAGTGGTGGCCATTGTAGTTGTGGTTTCCATGACCGTAGTAGACATTTCTGGTGGCACAGAGGTTGTGGGTGTTGTTCCCAGGATGGAAGGGACTTCCCCAACAAGTCGGACACTTCCATTGATTTTAATGTTGGGGTTGTTCTCCGCTGCCATGTTCAGCACTTTCAAGCCATTGTAATAGAGACCGGAGAGCTGGCCTTGGAAGAGACGCCCTCTGTCCTTCCCTCCTATGGCTATTTGCGCCTGGGTGTTGAAGATCGTTAACTGTCGTCCTAGTGAAGGGGGGGGGTGAATAACATTATTGCCAGACATTTCCTTCACTTTGCATCTTACATTGAGTCCTGCCCAGAAATGATGGACAAAAAAGAAGTAGATTCATTCTTGGTAGTGTTCATTATGACTGTAAAAATACAGTAGGAAATGTACTGCCTAAAGCTCATTAATAAGAAAGATTAGCCTGAAAGCAGGAACAGCTAAAACTGAATCTCATTCTTCAGCATCCACTCACACATCAAAACTCTGGAGGAGCTTTGACTCAGTCAAAAATTTGAACCCACTCTTGAGTTGTACCCATTTTAAACTACAAGTAAGTCTTCAATATGTGGCTATTTTTCGACTATCAATTCAGATTGCAGTACCTGTCAAGCTTTAGCCCATAAATAAACATTCTATTTTGACTTGCCAGAGGATGGAATTAACTCATAAAGCCACTTTTAACAATGCAAAGGTTTTAAGGTGTGGCTTGAGGACAGTAAAACATCAGAAAAAAATTGATGGTGATATAAGGATTGCAAAAGAATCTTAAGACAGGATCAGTCATGAACTTCCACCTGTAAATTTTGTGTTGTGAAGGCTCAAAAATCTAAAATCAAGAAACACCAAATGCAAACATTTGTGATGTCTCTGAAAGAGCAAAGTTTTGAAATAGACAGGACAACATAGTGCTTCAGATGGTTAAGCCCCACAATGCCTTACATGTGACTCCCCTCTTACAGACAGTGAAATTCAAATGTAGGCAGGTTACGTGACTTACTCAAGGTTACACCTTGAGTGTTAGGAGTGGTCTGATATCATATGTAATTAAAGGTATATTTATTAAAATTAAATCTAGTAACAATTGCCAATTCACCTAGTTTTGCAGGACACTTAAATCACATTCATCCTGGACTGCTTATGTCCCAGGCTGTGCTACGCTATCTTAAGAAATAAATTGCTTCATGCAGTGCAAAGGCAGTGCCTATAATTTTACTGTTCCTCAGAAGATTAGGAGCATGCCACCTGGAATCTGTTGAATTAACAGACAACCAGACTGGGCAGAGCTCAAAAGGGTTATCAATGCAGCATCAAGTCAATCATCATTCAGATATCTACTGTGCTTTCCCACTTTTATGAAGTTTGCAACACATGTCCCCATCCCATTCCCGCTCCCCAGTTCTCACTCACCACTTCCTTTCTCTAGTCCACCCTGGTGAGAGGTGCAAAAATGCCACCATGTAGCAAAGCACAGCCTATAACCCACTGCTCATTCCTTCACAGCCAGGGGTTAGAGTAGATCAAAATACAAGGGGGAGCTCACCAATTTTGGTGGTCGTCGTGACGGGTCTCGAAGTCAAGTGGTGATGCGGTGATGCATCATCTTATGGTGACAGGATGAACCATGGGGAAGAGAATGGGGACAAGAGAAGAAATGTGTCTGAAAGGAGTTCCTGTCCCCAAAGAGGGCCCTAGCTAACTAAGCAAAAGTGTATGGAGAGGTATAACATACGGACATGTGGAGGTGGGATGCACATCCCCGGTGCTCCTCACCCACAGATTTGTAAATGAAACACTAGGACTTGATCAGGGTGGAATAACTGCATTGATGAAGAAATGAGAAATAAAAATGGAGGGTATCCTTCCCCTGGAAAGTGTTGAAACACCTGATGCGATATTCTGCATCTCAGGAGGTTTTAAACTTACCAGAGGCAATGTATGTCTATTAAAAACATCAACAAACATGCACTGAAGCCACACATCCTCAGCATGTGAAAACAGAGCCGTTCCTCTTGTCTGTGAGGAAAGCAGCATCCAATAACAAGATCTGTCAAAATAATCAGCCCTCTCAGCCTGGCTCCTGCCTGAGCTAGAGGAAGTGACACTGTACACTGTAGGAGGCCAAACTCTTGCCATATACCATTTCCTTTTCTTCTCTTTCCTGTTGTGCTTTGGATTTTTTAATGGATATGTTGTTAGTTCTTTACTACACCATTTTTCCTTCTCCTCACACGTGCTCTCCCTCCAGTTTTATATTTCTTTCCCTACTGTCCCTTCCTTAAAAAAAACAGACATTTCATTTGCTACTGTTTCCTCCTCACCTCTCTCAAGATAGAGTGCCAAAAGGTAGAGGTAAAATGAGTAAATAACAGAAAGTTATTTCATTAATCTTGAGATGTTACCCCTGAAAATGGAGGTAAGGTACTGACCATTCAAAGCCTTCCATTTCCATTTCTTACTCCCTGTATCTTTTTTTATCTTCTACCAAAGGGAACAGGGGTGGGCAATGATGAGGAAGGGGAATTTTTGCTGTTCCATCTAGGAGAACTCCCCAAGCCAGGATAGACAAGGGGTTCCCTCACTTCTACTGGAGGATTACGACTCTCCTCGGGATGTCCTCTATTCTAACACAAGTTCATAGCACAGCTTTAGACTTGTCTGTCATATCTCTTGCTTTGCTTTCAAGAATGAGTAGTTAGTGTATTAAGGCTGATAAATAAATCATGTCTCCATTTCTGGGCCTTCATCTGCATGTTCTGAAAGGAAATGTACACCAAAAAGGTGGCCCCACTCCAGTAAAAAAAGAATTTTGTGTGTTTTGGGGTCCTCCTTGCTTGTTTAGTGGTCCTCCAGTCCAGGATTCATGCACTGCACCATATGGCTAACGCTGGAGACAGCACTGGTACTAGAATTGTGTTTGCTAAAAGAACAATCACTTGTTGGAGTCACCTACAGCCTGTCATTCTTCATTCTTCACTCTATCATGGTGTATATGTGCATGAATAAAGACAACAAGGAAATGCATATGGAATGAAAGAAAACTGTTGAGAGAATATACACTTAATTCTACCACCACAGGTATCTTCTGATCATTCTTTTGATAATATGGTTCTGAAGCCCTTACTTACGCTAAGTAAAATTTATTTGGCCATTGAATTTTATTAAGGAACTGTTTACATTAGTAAATTCTACTAGATGTGTAGAGGCTGCAGAATTACAGTCCATTTTCACAAAGAACTCTTCCTACTGCTATTTTTGTGTCATATGATGAGTACATTTAAATTTCTGAAGTGTTTTGTAAGTATTCTGAATAGTTTAAGCTTGTGGTTTTTTGTTTGCTCTCTCATTGACTTCTTCATTTGGAAAACTGAATACCAATTAAAAATATCACAGAGAAATTTTAGTGAAGTGTAACTTTTCCATAACACTAGGAGAGATTTGGAGGCTGACTTTGCAAATCCTAATTCACACTAATAGTTCTTGCTTCAAAAGTACAGTCACTCACATCAACAAGACTTTACATGTAAGTAAGAGAGATTTGAAGAATTAAGGACTTCCAGGATCAGTCCTTTTGATGAGATGCTTCTGGAGCTTTATTAGCTCATCCAATTGCAGAATAAGTAACATCTGTGCCTTAGCAAACACCGTGTATTCTACTAAAATAATCTGCTGGTTTTATGACTACTTAAGTTGAACAATTTAGGACTAATACTTTTTTTTTTTTTTTTTTTTTTTTTTTTTTTTACTCAAATACATAGTCTCAGTGAAGTTAATAATGTTTAATGTTTTGCTTATCACTCATAAAATTCAAGACTGTAAACCTGAGCTCCTCTTAAAAATCTTTTAAAGTTATTTGCAAAATTAAAAATAACTCCCCAAAACAGGAATGATGCAACTTCAGAAAGATGTTGTGTTATATTTGTTTTCCAAGAATGAACTATTTCATTATTATGAATAAGGTAACAGTGGTACCAAAGGAAGACCAAATCTACGGCATTCAAAATGTCAACTGAAAAGTGTTTCATCTTACCTCACTCAAGCCAAGAACTCACACGGGCAAGACAGCTATCCTATATGACATCTCTTTGATGAATCTATCTATTCCTCCATCCATCAGTTCATCTTGTTCCATTTTGATAGCAAGCTACCCTTTCATTCATCATCTTTATAAAGTCTTCTGACAGAAGGTTTCCATCTTACATTAATTGTTGGATGGATGACCAGATAGATGAGCAGATTGGTGAACAGCCAGGTAAATTACTCATTCTTATTATTTTTTAATTTGAGTGGTACCTAAGTTGCTGAAAACATCTATCTTGTTTGGAATAAAGGAAGAAAGCTATATTGTCTCAGGTGTTACACTGCACAATGTCATTCCCTAACACAAAGTGTAAAGACTAAAATTCCTTTCACTTTAGTAAAAACATGCCTCTGCCCTTCTAGCCTAAAAACATCCAGTGCTTTGAGAGTATCTGAATCCTCAAATGTTGTCTCTTTTGCAGCTTACTGCACGTGTGATTGTCTTTTAACAAAGCATCAATATCCACAAAAGGTAGACTTCAGTTCAAAACTTCAGGATAGCTTACAAATGAAAGTGCCTTAGCATGCTTATAAGCTCAAACTTGGAGAAGCAGTGACATAAAATAAAAGATTTGGTGGAAAACCAAAAAGGAAAAAAAACAACCCAAAACAAAAGCACAAAAGAAAACGGAGGTGGGTTTCTCAAGCACATGAATTGCATCAAGGAATTAAACATGCATCTGTTTGAACAAAATTGAGGCAATCATCGTCTTTAGTGTTAAAGGGACTTTAGCAATTCAAACTTACCAAAATTATCCTCTTTTTAGTGTTAAGCTTTATTTATTTATTTTAGTTTGATCTTGTAAATTAACAGGGCAACCCGCTGAGACTCAATAAGCATTTTCTGTATACCTTTTTCTTAAAATTTATTTACAAGTTAGCTGAATTAACTCTTCCATTAAACCCCGATGGTCAAAAAATATTTCTGTTTTAGTAACACAAATATTTTTGTCTTGCTTTCCAAATACTCCAGCTTTAGTTACAATCATCACATCCTTGTAGACCAAACCTGAAAAGTGGGCAACACTGTCAGCTCTCACTGAATTCAACGAGAACTGAGTGTGCACAACACTTTGCAGGATCAGACCCTTTACAAAAAAGTATTTTTACTGCAATTAGCCACATCCTTCACGACCTTAAGTCATACTGGCTAAACCAATTTGTTAATTCAGCTGAGGACAGAAGTTTGAAACAGAACATAAATTATATTTTTCCAATCCTACAAAACATTGGGTTTCCCTCTTGGAAAATTTGGTAACAACTAAAGTCTAAGTGAGCACAGAAAATGCAAGATCTGAGTTCAAAGGTCACCCCCTTTTATCAGCAGCACTTTCTTAAAAGGAAACAAGAGAAGATCATGTTCTGCTTTTTCTAGACTTCAAGGCAAGGAGTTATTTACGGTGATTTTTTTTTTTTTTAATATCACATTTAGTATAGAGGGAGAAGATCTTCCTGACTTAAGCTCCACTGTGTTACCCAGAGCCCAGTCCAAACCTTGCTGAAATCAGTAAGAGTTATTCCATTCCCTTCAACAGGCTTTGGAATGGGCTTTACATCCAAGATCTCTTTTTTCCCCTCCAAATCCCGATAAAAAACATTTCTGTTCTGACACAAGTCCCATTTCAGCTGAGTGTATGCAGAACTCTCACTCAAGCCAGCTGGACTTATGCACATTAACAAGTATTTGCTGAACTGAGGCCAATTATTCCAGGCAAATCCACAAAATTAAGTAGTGCTGCCTGAGATTGTTACGGAATAATCTGACCCATAACTTGGACAAATTTGAGTGTTCAAACTGTACTCCAGACGTAGCATAAAAGCGACAGAACAATCATCTTTCTCTGTCTCCCTCACTGTAGTTTATATAAAAATGTTAAAAAATGTTTTCTTTACAACATTTTTTAAAATTGTTTAATTATCTTAATACAATTAGGAAATACATACCTATAGTGACTAATCACACTAATGAGAAAAAAGAAACTTACAGGAAGTGGTTTAACAATTAGGTTTGAATTTTTTTTAAGGAAACTTTGATAATAAAGATATAAATGTAGTTTAAAAACAAATCAAAATAGGAAAATCATGCAGTGGTTAAATTGCCATAATACATGTTGTTGCTCTTTGCTCTTCTTCTTCATTTTGTTTTTTTAGAAAATGTCTCCTGAATTTTTGCTTGTTTGTTTGTCATTACTATGATAGCAAGCTTAGAATTTCGTCCCTTTAACTGCATTTTAATAGCAATGTATTATAGCATGATTTATCAACATATGGCAGGTGGAAGCTGACACAAATTATAATGAAAATTAAAACAGTCATTTATGCAGCAGGCGATTATCATTTAAGAAACATTTATTTGCAGGCTTTAAAAATGAGGGTTTAGAATCAAATGGGTTTAAAATGAAAGTTTTAATGACTGTTACCTTTTTCCTGCAGCCACTCCTCTACGGGCCGGTTATATTTGAAGGGGATTTTCTGTTTTACCATTTGGAACCGTTCACTATCAGTGTTGCCTTTAAAGTTTAAAAAACAGCTTAAAAACAATCTGAAAAGTCAATGAAATAGTTAAAACATCCTATATCTTTTGGATTTTTTTATGACCTTATTTAGCTATAAATAAATAAGTGCGTGTGTGTGTGTACATATATATATTTGAAAAGAGATTTTTATGTTTAGTAAGGTGGAGAATAGTTATACATCCCAATTGCCTGAAGTTCTGGAGGGTCAAAGAAGTTAAATCCTATGAAAAAGAGATCTCTAATTCTCCTCAGAGTATTTGTTTATCCAAATTGGTTAGAAGGCATGTGTAATTTGTCTGGGACATGAGACCTTGAATGAACTCAGTGCCGTGAGTTAAAATATTTTGATCAGACTCTAGATTTGATTGTGCAAGGAGATGCCACAATATGTCTGTCACACAAACACACATTTAGTACTACTTTGATAAACCTTCTTGTAGTAAAAGACACGTTAGGACTAGAAACCCAGTAAACAGAATAAAAGAAAGGAAGGAATTGCATGAAATCAATGCTGAAAGGATGTAATAAAAGTAGTTTAAAAAAAACCTATGAGTGGGAAGATAGATAGAGAAAAAGAGAAGTAAAATTTTAAAAGAGGAAAAGCTGTAAATTACGGGCTTGTGTCCAGTTATCAAAGTCTTGGTCTGTTGCCAGAAGAAAAGAGAAGCTCAGAAATGAATTTAAATGAAAGCAGAAATAATTACCAAAGACGTAAATTCTGGCAAGTGCAGTTCCATTGTTCCGTGTTGATGGATAATAGAATTATCCAGTAAAGTGTGTTTTGGAGGAAAGCTCTTATTACTCACACAGTACAGAAAGGAATAGGATCAACACAAACTCTTTGTTCAAATTCGCTGGCTACTGAAAAATTGTACAGGTCGGATGGGCTGGGCCAACCTCTAGTAGAAAGGAGCAGCTCAGTTTGACAGTGTTAGGAGTGACAGTAAACAAGTGCCATCATTCTGCTTTTTCATTTTCTTTAGCTACAGTCGCTGACTGACTCATTCTAGTTTTTGCTTCATGTATTGTTTTAATAAAAACTCTTCAGTCAGACAAGCATAAAAAGGGTGCATCTTTTACAAACTTAATTATAATATTGTAGAAAACTAGAGTAAGCCCCCATCTTACTGAAGTAATGCTACCATAAACAGAAGTTCACTAGATCAGGAGTGCTCCAATACATGTTTTGAATAAATGGCAAGAGCCGAGTAACTGCTCTGTGCAATTTGCAGTACTTCTTTTAAAATTCCACATATAAATAACCTAATGTGGCTTCATATCTATTTGACTTTCTGAAACAGATGCTGGCATCTTTTTTCAATGTAAAGACACATCAAGGAAAAACATATATATGACTAACAGCTGGCAAGATGCTCCACCCAGTCAACAGCAGACACTTTCACGCTGCAAGCAATATGACTGGTAAATCTCACATTCTAGATAATCCTTACTGTGTAGCTGTTGCTCAGAAATGCTGCCAGTCTGTTATGAGGTCCCTGCTGACCACAGCCAACCTCTCCAGCATCAGCTCATTTCTGTTGACTTTCTGGGACAGGTGAGAGGCTTTATAGTGACAGACTGGCTATAATCACATCAGGATTCACACGTAATAAAGCACGGACCTAATCTTGGAGGGTATTTGTAAAAATCACCACTGTGTCTCTTTAAGTCCAGCTGTAAGCAAAACAGCAATTTGGATTTGGGTTAATAACTCCAATTATAATGATGAACATGTAGGAGCCTTGCTGCTTATTTGGGGAAATAGGTCAAACAAAGCAAAAACGTTTAAGAGCAGCTTTATTGGCCTGATTCCTTATTACCTTCCTGGAAAGCCATCTACTTTTTTCCTTCCATGTAACAGATCCATTGTGGAAAACTGCTATTTCCCATCATAGAAAGATCTGATTAAGCACTAGCTTACACACACTAATATATAGGTTTCTCTGTCCCACCTCAGATGCCTGCTATTTGCCATTGGTTACTCGGATAAAGCAGACGGAAAACATAAAATACTGGAAACACACTCTGTCAGTCATTTATCAAATAGTATTAAACAATGAACCGTGGTGGCCTGGAGTCACTCACAGACATTAAGTTACCTTTAAGTACATTCCTCTCTTAATTCATATCAGCACCACCAAAACATAACAATAGTCAGTTCTGTACTTCTATGAATACAGATACGTGAACATAAAATTTGAATCATGTTCAGTGCAGGATCTAAGAAAAAAATTTGATAAAGAGCAGCTGAGGTAAGATAAACAACAAAAAAAACCCCACCTACAACTAAAAAGACAGAAATATTAACAAAACAATGATTTTTTTATTTGTTTATTAATAATAAGTTTATGACTAATGAAAGCTGGAGTCACGCAGGTCAGTTTTTTTCTCCATTTCTTAACATAAAGGATAGATCCCTTTCCTGCAAATTCTCCTGTTTGCTTAAGCCTAAGGGAAGTTTACACTCATGGGACAGGGAACACAGACCTGCTGATTTGGGGAGAGCAGAAACAAAAGTAATTAAGTCACGCTCACTACAACAACAATTTCTTTTTTTACGATCGGTTAGGAAGGCATTCTGCTTATCCATTAGACCTTTTCTCAACATATTAATCCATGCTCTCCTTCGCCAAACCAGCAAAATCTCATAAATGTAATCAGAGAAGTCCTGCATCTCCTTTGAGATATTTTTGGTCTGTTGCAGGGTGCCTAATTTTCTGTGTAAGAAAGGAGTACTGAAAGAAAACTTGGGAGGTGTTTCAGTGGGACTTAAAGACCCTAAATTTGTCTGTGAACTCCTAAATTTCTCTGTCAACTCAGACTTGAAAACTTATACAGAGTCTGCTACTACATCTATATTGCATGTGATACAGAAAGTTATGATTTCAGTAGAAATGAAGGTTATTCTTCACTTTATAGAGTATGTTCTGAGTAAGGACTTAGATGAGTGCATTGAAATCTTAATGTTGATGGGCAAGAACATTTTCTGTGTGGTCAAAGAAATTCTGGAACACACTTTACTTGGAACAAAAAACTCTACTGGCTTTACTCGGTATGTAGATAAGCAACCTTTTCTTGCAGGCAACGAGATCTTTTTCAGAATAAAGAATGATCCACAGTTCACAGGAAAACAGGAGTCAGCCAGTGCGTGGCATGAAGTGCTTCTTCCTCTGTGTGAAGGGCTGACCGTAGAACAGAAAAAAATTAGTGGATTGAAATTTCTTATAAGTAGGGCATCTGGCAAGAACAGGCCAGGAAGACTAAGATAAAAAGGAAATGGGACAACGAAAGAAAACATGACAAGGAAAAATGGATTTCTTATAATACAGCCCTAGACCTTCAAGAAAGTCAGAAATGACAACTATTCCCCACCACATCTTTAAAGATTTTTTTTTAAAAATCAGGTTTAATTTAATTTTATTATTATTATTAGGCAGATATATTCAGCAAGATTAAAATAAGTATAAAAATCATACCTTTAAAAGCTATGAAAAATGGAAGTACATTAGAAAATTCAAATAGGTTTAAATTTCAACATTACTGCCTGATCTTTTTTGTTTTTAAATTTTATTTCAGACATTAGTAAGAATGATTTTTAAAAACATGTGCATGAGAACGTGTTCACTGATATACCCGTTACAACATTGAGCTGAAGAACAAGTTTTCCATTGTAAAGCGCTTGAGTTAGTCATTAAATATCAATAAAAGCATATAATCATTAAATTATATTGACCTTGAGTTGTGCTTTAAAAAAAAACAAACACAGCATTTGATATGAGAGTTCAGAAAGGAAATATCATGGTTTGCAACACGAAGTAACGTAAGTTCAACATGGAGTAAATTCATCAGACCTCTGACAGCTGAGCCATGATGTGATTAAGGGGGATTCTTGTCCATCTTCATACATAGGAATTTTCAGCAACAATCCTTTTGTAACCTCAATGCAATGCCTTTCTAGAGCTGAACAATATGCATGTTCAACCAATCCCTTCACGCAACTAATCTAGACATCTCCTTTTTTTCTGAGTTCAGCTCTGATTCCAGGCTGTACTTCAGAAAAGAATACACAGGACAGAGAGCCATTTAAATTTATTTTAGAAAATACACTTAATCCCATAGTTCTTTTGCATTCAGAATCAGCATGGGTCTCAAAGGTCTGCAGAATATAATTTGTTACAGTAAAGTTGTGTTGATTAGCTTTGCTACTTGTGATTTACTGAATATTTTTCCTCCCATAGGTTCTAGATGCTTAAATGGTTCAAGTGTCAATAGTAACTCCTCGTTTAAAATAATTTTCCTCCTTTTTCTTAATCTGCATAAATTCCTGTATATCAATATGACATTATCTGCTTCATGACTTAGCTTTTTCTAAAGAACTGTACTTCAGAAACGCATTCCTTCACCTACATTTTCTCCTTTCTCATGCAAAATTCTATAGCACAGCCAAATCCAGCTCTGTGAAGACTGGGATAAAACAAGTCTTTTATTCCATTTAGTACTCATATGTACGATTAACAGAAATCCTGCTGCATCTCCTAAGTATCACATAGACCTCAGTTTTCCAGCAAATTGATAAGCAACCAGGCTTTTAAGACCCTAACAATTTTACTGGTAACATTTTGAAATCTTCTGGATCCTTGAATCTTGTTTAACCTGAATATTCAAAATGTTTCAAATAACACAGACATTCCCAAGAACTAAATATTTTGGAGATTAATCTGGCAGAAGAGCTCTATTTTTTCTGTTTGTCCCTCTTTCCCCCCCAAAAAAATCTGGCACCTCAATCACAAAACCCAGAGCCTGCTGGTTAAATATGATCGGTTGCCAGTCTTCTGTCTTTTTTCTGGAGCCCTCTATATCCCTGCTCCACGGACTACCTGATCAAGATAAACAGATCAGATTAATTCCTAGCTTTAGCTCTTGGTAATCTTCAATCTAGATCAAACTAAAATGGGGAAAAAAAAATCAACAGAATTTGCTTGTGCTAATCGCTG